GTAGCTCCAGCTTCCCTCAAGCATCATGCTTTCTTTCAAGAAACACACACTGCAGGGAATCTGAGACTTTTTTTGTTTATGTTTTTGTAATAAGCTTTTGTAGTTAACTTACAGTCTTTACAGTTTAAATACTTTTCATCATTCAGGAGTCATTTTTACCATAAATAATATTACCTAGTAATACAACAGACAACCTGCATTTATTTTAATCTAGTTGATTAAGTGCTAGAAGAAGGTGTCAAAGAATTTAAGCTTGCTAACCTTTCTCCTCAGAAGGCTTCCTGGAAAAGGGAAGATTTAAATGAAAACAAAACAGGACAAAACAAAACCTAGCAGCAACAACAGAAAGCCTACGTGCTTATTTGAGAACGTATTAATAAGCGTGGTTCTTTTTCACAGAAACTATCTGTAGTTGAACATACACAAAATTTTGCATACAATTTCATGGGATTTGTAGTTTTCCCCCAAATTCTCTTTTGAAGATAGAAGGGAGTGTATTTTGGTTCCTGGGTAACATGTGAATGAAGATATAATCCCAGCAAGGTGATTGCTGGAAACAGTGAGCTAATCAGAGCAAGGTTGAGTGGTAGAGTATGAGGAAGTAAAATTGTTTAGGTTGAGCAGATGGTTTTTAAATTTTTTTTTGAGACAGAGTCTTGCTCTGTTGCTCAGGCTGGAGTGCAGTGGCATAACCTTGGCTCTCTGCAACCTCTGCCTCCCGGGTTCAAGCGATTCTCGTGCCTCAGTCTCCTGAGTAGCTGGGATTGCAGCTACTCAGCTACAAAAACTACCACACCTGGCTAATTTTTGTATTTTTAGTAGAGATGAGGTTTTCCCATGTTGGCCAGGCTGGTCTGGAACTCCTGACCTCAGGTGATCCACCCACCTCAGCCTCCCAAAGTGTTAGGGTTTCAAGTGTGAGTCACTGTGCTCGGCCTGGGCAGATTCTTAAATGTGAAAATTTTAGACCCTCTTGCGCCTTCTCCAACATTTACTTTTGTTGACCAATGCCTTACTTCCCCTTACATTCATTTTAAAGTTCTTGTCTTTCTTGACTTTCCTGAAATCAGTCTCTCTCTCTTTTCTCTTTTTCCACCTCCCTTTGAAACTTAGATATCCCTCAGTTTTTTTAGTCCTCTTCTGTTTTTGATTTTCACTTTTACATTAAGAGCACTTCAGTTATTCCTATCTACTGATGATTCCTAAGTCTCTTTTTGCCTTGTGTGGAGCTCGAGACCTTTATTTATTGTTGCCTGTGTACATGTCCACCAGCCTGTTCCACAAATACTAAGTTCAGAAATTCTCAAGTTGTACTTACTCTCTCACTGTGGTCTTCCTTCTGTGTTTCCTGTTTCATCTGTTGGCATCCCTGTCCAAAGTCCTTTCTTTCTATATTCCATTGCTATGTTAAGCCCTTCTGTGCATAATTGTATTTATTCTACAGAGTTGTCTTATAGGTCCTATGGTCCTACTTTTAGAGATAAAGCAATTTATGTAATTTAAATGTTTATCTCTAAATTACACTATTAGTATGGGACAGTGCTGGGATATAAACTCATATGTATAGATTCCATATTTTTTACTGCAATTATTATAATGCCTGCCACTTCTGTCACTTTAATCTAAAAAATATTAAGGGTTTACCTATAGGTGTAATTAAAGAAATATTTATTGCAGTGTTTTTCTAAAAAAAAAGTTCCAACAGTAGGAATTTCTGTTCAGTCCGTTAAAGAATATTCATAAGGAATACCAGGTGGCCATTTATACATCATATTTTTTACCAGTAGTTTTTATTTTATGTAGACAAATCATGTATGGAAACCCAAAGTGTGAAATAGATTAACAAAAAACAGTGCTTGAAAGAAGGGAAGCTCCGCAGTATTTCATGGACAGCTATTGGCAATGATTTTTGAGGAAAATTAGGAAAATATTCGTAATACCTTAAGTGGAAAAAATACAATTAGTAAAACAATATGCATAGTGTGCCCCCAATTTTGCTAAAAATGTATTTGAATATGCAGTTCGCCCTCCGTATCCATGGATTCTACATCCATGGATTCAATCAACTGTAGAGTGAAAATATTTGGGGAAAAAAGCATCTGTACTGAACATGGACAGACTGTGTTTCTTGTCATTATTCTTGAAACAATACAGCATAACCATTATTTACATAGCATTTATATTGTATTAGATATAAGCAATCAAGATATGTTTTAAAGTATTTGGGCGGACATGTGTAGGTTATATGCAAATATTACATCATTTTACATAAGGGACTTGAGCATCCTCAGATTCTGGTATCTGCAGGGAGTCCTGGAACCAATCCCCTGTGGATACCAGGGGACAACTCTATACATCGCTAAAAGACTGGAAAGTTATACATCAAAGTATGAACACTAGTTATTCCTTAACTTGAGGATTATTTATAATTTTTATTTTCTCCACATTTTCCACAATGAGCAAGAATTAGTTTTATAAATAGAGACTATAAAGCAAAACTCCCAAACATTATTAAATAAGGCAATAAATGCAAAAAACCCTCAAAACCTACTACATATCATTGAATACACACCATATACACACATACACCGTCATATACAAAGTAAAAGAAAACTGGTGACTGTTGCTCCATAAGCATTGGCTTTTGAAGCTCTTGAATACCTTTGTAGGCAAGAAACTGTACTCTACTCTTGGAACGCCTTGGATGAATATTAATGCTGTTTTCAGTAGGGGTTTAGAATTTGGACTTTGGAAACTGACTGTTAGGTTTGAATCCTGGCTTTGCTGTTATTTATTGTTTTATCTTGGGCAAGTTGCTTAACAGTTCCTAAGTTTTCCCCATTTGTGAAATGATACCTACTTTATAGGGAGGTTAGGATTAAGTAAGTTAACTTAATAACATGCTTACAGCAATGCCTGGCACTTAATAAGGGATCAGTATTAGTTGTTTTGGTTATTCCTGTCTTTTATTTTCCCTCCAAACTCTGTCTCCTTTCCCTCCCCCAAAGTTAGCTGGAGATTTAGATGGAAAGTCATAGTTTTTATTCAGATTCAGTTTCCCAAAGAGGTCACTGGTCAATAAGGTACATACTTCTTCTCCTACTAAAATTTAGTAGCAACTATACCTTATTTTGTAAATATTTGTGTGCTTTTATGGTATGATTTCTAACCAGAAATTGTCCACATTCAGTGATTCACTAGGAGGATTTACAAGACTCAGCACATGGTTGTACTTACAGCTGTGATTTATTACAGCAGAAGGATACAAAACAAAATCAGTGAGAAGAAAAGGCACATGGGGTAAAGTCCAGAGTAAATCAGTGTAAGCTTCTAAGGGTCCTTTCCCAGGGGAGTTACACGGGATGCGTCTAACTCCTCCAGCAAGTTGTGACAACACATGTAAGACGTTTACCAAGGAAGCTCATTAGAGACTCAGTGCCCAGGGTTTATATTAGGGATTGTTCATATAGACACTCTCTGCCTAGTGTGTACCAAATTTCTAGACCCTAGAAGGAAAACAGGTATTTAGCACAAATCACATTTGTTTGTAAAGTGTAGGCACACTGAGCTGTTCCTACTAGGAAATGGTGGGAACTGTCCTGAAATCTAAATTTCCAGATGCCAGCAAGGGGCCAACCTTGCAAGCAGACCTTTCTAGGGATGGCAATCTCAGGCCTGCTATGTTAACTCTTTTCTGTACCATGGTATGTTATGAAATGTATTTTACTTAAGAAACAAATGTCAACAAATCTAGACATTTTAAAAAAGCTTTATTGAGATACAATTCTCACATTATAAAATTCAACCAATTAAAGTGTACAGTGCAGTGATTTTTAGTATATTTATAGAGTTGTGCAGCCATCACCAGAGTCTAATTTTAGAACATTTTCATCATCTCCCCCTTAAAACCCTTACTCATTAGCAGTCATTTCTCATTCCTACCTTTCTCCTCCCTCAAGCTTTCCCCCCACACCCTGCCAATCCCTAGGCAACCACTAATTTACTTTTTGTCGTTAAGGAAAAATCTATACTTTAGCATGTTTTCATTTTTATTTCATCTCTGATATTAGTGTCTTTGTAAATGGTACCTTAAAAATTATTCACAGGTATTTTACTTCCAGTGTGTCAAAGATTCAGAGTTTGAGTCTGTATGGCAGCTTCTACATATAGAGCACTTATCTACACTAATCATCATCAAAATGGATATTACATGAGTTTGGGATATTTAATGAAATAATTCGTTATAAAAGCCCTTGTTTTTGTAATGCTCGTTCTCACTTGTTTAAAAGTATATAATACAATTGATTGAGGCATACCAATGAGAATTTTTATATTTATGGGTTGACATTTAGTGTTTCATGGTATCTTTTTGCTAAAAGAGAGAAAGGGACTCATAGTGAACAGGATGAAGTTGGGAGAGGTAGTTACGCTGTTGCCATTCAGATGTAGAGAAGGGAAAAAAGTGTAGATTGTTAGGAGGTAGGACAAAAAGTATTCCTTTATTATAAGTGGCTATTAATTTTTTGGCATTCTCTGATGTTGGTACAATATACAGTAGCAATGAAAAGTAAATTTACACGTGAGTTTATATTGAACCAGAAGCTAAAAATTTTTTAAGTTGTAGAAAATTTTCAATTTTAAAGCAAAGCTGCTTGTATGTTTTTAACCATTATTTTGGTTGAAATCTAGTTTCTTTGAAAATTGCGTTAGTAAGACAAGCTGTACTATAAACTGAGCACTATGGGAGGATTTTTTTTTTGTGATTAAAACACAGAACTTTGTCATCATGAGTTATATAGGTATTGACAAAACATGGATGTTCACCTAAATGTCCAAATCTGTGTAATTCTTATGCTTTTGAAATAAAAACTTTACTTTTAATGTTAATACATGTTTATAATTAAAAGGGATATTTTTGGACATTGGGAATTAATAACAAATGATCTATTCCCTGGGACAAAGCACCAGCTCTCATAGTTACTTACATCCTTGTCTTCCAGGTGATTTTACGACGAGATGCTGCTCTCAATAGGGATGCTCATGCTGTCAGCCACACAAGTCTACACCATCTTGACCGTTCAGCTCTTTGCGTTCTTAAACCTACTGCCTGTAGAAGCAGACATTTTAGCAGTAAGTACAGTAAAATTTATTCATGTCTAGAAACATCCCTTAAAGAAAAGCTTAAAAAAGCCCTGAATGATATTTATAAGACATTGTTATAAGATATTTTTATCTAAAAACATACCCCAACACATATACACAGTTACTTGACATTGAGGTACCTTATTTATTTATTTATTTATTTTTTGAGACGGAGTTTCATTCTTGTTGCCGAGGCTGGAGTGCAATGGTGCGATCCTGGCCCACTGCAACCTCCACCTCCCAGGTTCAAGCAGTTCTCCTGCCTTAGCCTCCCGAGTAGCTGGGATTACAGGCATGTACCACCAAGCCTATTTTTTTTGTATTTTTAAGAGACAGGGTTTCACCATGTTGACCAGGCTGGTCTTGAACTCCTGACCTAAGGTGATCTGCCTGCCTTGGCCTCCCAAAGTGTTGGGATTACAGGTGTGAGCCACCACGCCCAGCGCCTTATTCATTTTTTTTTTTTTTTGCTTCATATCTAATGTAAGATCTTGTGAACAATCAGTACCTGATAAGTAATGTTGCACATGAGGGTATGTGTGCACATGTGGGTGCTTTGCACACATACCTACCTGCTGTATACTTATATAGAATTTTACTGTTTTTCTTGGTACCTAGTGCATCTCTTCATGACTGTAAGATCTCAGTGGTATCTCTATTGATAATAATATTTAAGAAATTCTATAAGGTGTTGATAGAAAACTTCAGCCCAAGATTAGCATTAATGAGTCAGAAGAGAAGCACAGTGGTCCTATCTTTGATGGTGGATGGAAAAGTTTTTAGAGAAGAAGCGTGCTGCTCAAAACCTTACCATAGCCTCTCTTAGCTACTGTCTTACTTTCCTCCACACTGTGGAGTCATCAGATGGTCTCCAGCTTAAGATAAGGCTTGACTAGTGAGCTTTTGACTTTATGATGGAATGAAAGTGATGTGCACATTCAGTATGCACCTCAACTTATGATAAGATTATGTTCTAACAACCCCATCATAAGTTGAAAATATAAGTAGAATTTGACTTCTGAAACATTTTTGACTTATATATTTTCAGTTTATGATGAGTTTATCCAGATGTAGCCCCGTTGTAAGTTGAGGATATATATTTTCTATTTCTCTTTTTCTGTGAAGGTAGAAAAAGAACATACATGCCTATCCTCTAGGTCTGTGCTAAGGATTTGGTTTTACTTTCTGGGTGCAACTGATTTGCTTAATGGTATCAGGTGAGAAATAAAAGGGCAAGAATTGTTGCTGACCAAAGCTTGTTGTGGTACTCAGCTGTGCTTCTGCACTTTGCAGCAATTCTGGAAGATTCTGAGATCATTGTAGCACTTGAGAGAGCCAGGCTGGTTTCCATACTATAACTTTTGAAGGCAGAGGATGCTAGTAATCCATACGAGATTTCTCATCCCCTGTTGTCCTCTGTAGGGAACTGGTTGATTAGGTTTGTTTTTGGGAATAGTCTTGGTCTTTTTGAGGTGGAGTGGAAATAGAACCTTTGAAGACTGAGTCCATTGCTATTCAAATCTCCCTTCTCAATTGATCCCTAAAATCCTTAGAATATTCTTGGCATGACTTTTGAAATGAGTTTAGAGGATTTATGGACTGATCAGGGAATAAAGTTCTCCTTGTCTCCTTTCTCTCCTTTGATTTCTTCTATTTTGTGTCTCTCTTTTTCCCTCTCTGTTGTTTTTAATACCTTTTGCCTTCTTTCTTTCATTTATACCCAAGGTGGATTGCTATTCTGTGGTCGAGCTGCCTGATGGATTAAATGATTTTCAGTGTTGTGCTCTGGGAACTTAAGCAGCTATATGACCTTGATCAAATTACTCAGCTGCTATAAGTGCCACAGTTTCTTTATTTCTTTATGTAAACTAGAGTGTTGTGGTGGTGACTAAATAAGATAAACTGCTTAGAATAGTATCTGACACATGGTAAATGTTTTATATATGGTTTAAATCTTCATTATAATTATCATTCTGATTATATTTCACTCAGCCCCTTGAGAAGATATGAAACTACCTGAGCTGTATTTTTTAATGTAGAGAAACAAAAAAAATGTTAGGTATAGAAGAATAGTCAGTCCTTTTTGCTAGCAGGGTTCCCTGTGCTTTACACAGGTACTTGTGGAATGTATGTTGATGTCCTCTAGTGAAGGACCTGTAAGATGGGAGCTGTTTAAATCTGGTCTCTATGCTGACCATAAGGATAGAAGGCTGACACGAATGCAAAGATGGCTGGAGGGGAGCGGCTTGTGAAGGCATGTAACTGGTGAAACAGGGAACTAAAAATTGAGGCAGAGGAACTGGATATGTGACAGTCATTCAAAGGAAGTGAGTTAAGAGGTAGAAAGAACACTTCCTTTTAATGCAATAAGAGCATCCCTGAAATCTGAGTTTGCAGTAATACAGATATAAATAAATTAGACATCTAGTTCCAGTCAACTAGGTTGATTCTAGTTCTATTTGCACAGGGCTTGGGATGCTGCTTTTGAAAAGTTAAGTCCGTTTTAGTTATGCTATTTGTAATGCCAGATGCCTTTGGTTTTGGGTTTTTTTTTTTTTTTTTTTTTTTTTTTGCAGTTTTTATGTTACACGGGGTCTCACTCTGTCAGACAACAGTGTTTGTCCAACTAGTTGAGTTCT